CAACATTGCAGACAGGGATAGGACATTGGAGGCGGGTGCGGGGAAGGTTATAATGAAGGGCAAAACAATAATTTAGAAGGATTCCTTCAGCTCCACTGTCTTGAAGAGCGGAAGCGTCAATTTTATGTCCGGTGACTGGTTCCACAAGCTGAGCGCTGAATATGATGGACGGTGTCTGTGCATTCTTGACAGCCAATATATATATGCATTCAGGGTACGAGTGCTCACAGGTGGTGGTACACAATGGGGTCCGAGACATACTGGCCCTGCGCAATGACACGGTGACAGGGCGATCTAAAAATTCTTCAAGCTCTCCTTGAGCTTTGCCTTCTCCTCCGCTCCCAGCACAAGCAGCCGCGCGAGTAACTCCGAGTCTCCCTTCTCCGACCTCTTCTTCCGGTTGGGGCAGTTCTCCACCATATGGCCATCCTGCCCGCAGTAGAAACACCCGTTGGACGCAATGAGGCGGTCCTTCTCCGCCTCGGTGAGCTTTGTATATGCCTGGACCCAGACGATCGGCTGCACTGGGGTAGCAGATGACACGTCCTTCTTGGGCGCTTGGGGCGCGGCCAACTTGTGGAAGGAACTGCCGAGCCAGGCCTTCTCTTCTTCGCACTCTGCCTGCATGGCCTCGTCCTTGTCAAGCGCGGTCTCCTTCCACTCATCAATGGTCTGTAAGCGGTCCGGCATGTTGTCTATCTTCTTGCAAAGGGCCAGGTCCAGTCCGCGACGGAAGGTCTGCTTGAGCACATTGTCATTGTAGTCCACCTCGAGCTCGAGCCGCTCAAAGGTGGCCATATAGTTGCGGATACTCTAGGAGCCTTGCTGAAGACGTTCGAACTTGGCCTGAGCATAGCACTCCTTGTCGATGATGCCAAAGTGCTTGCGGAAGCATGTGACAACTTGCTGGAGAGTGGCAACCTGGAGCCATGCAACATCCTGGTGGCGCTCGTTGAGATACAAGTGCATGATACCCGTGGCCCATGGTTGACCGAGCGTGCCCGTGCAGCCTTGGAGGAACAAGTACACCTGATCAGTGTTTGCACGGAAGCGATTGGGATGCAACTCAATGAAGTACGCCGTCCTGTCAATGTACAGCTTGACGTCCTCCTCTTTATCCGTGAATGCTGTGGGAGGGGACGCTTCGGGTTTGATGGCTGGCACGCCGAGTGATCAAGGTCGCTCCAGTCATAGGAGCCGGCTTCGCTAGACATTGTCGAGTAGCGGCTGTGGAAGTGTCCAGGGGGAAAGTGCAACTCCATGAGCGACTCGTCCGTGCCGCCTGTGTCCACATTGCCCTTTGTCTCCTCCCACGTGTCCTGTTGCTGCGAGGTCTGTTGGGTGTTCGATTGATTATTCGGCTTAGCTGGGCACTTCCGAAACGGATTGTTGGGGTGATGAGGGAACAGATTGGCCCTGTAGTAGGGGAGGAAGGGGTTGGTTTGGTTGCGACGTCTGTGTCTCCGGGTTCATGATGTTGGCCATGATGGGGGATGTTGCGGACGAAGTTGTTCACTGGGCTCGTGAAACTGCGAGGGGACTGGGAATTGCGGCCCGGTGCGGTGTTGGTTGGGCTAGTGCAGGTGGTACCAGGGATCCTATGCGGGAGGAGTTGTAGGGGTGAGTAATAGAGAATTTGATCTCTTCAGGCATAGGTCCGATATTGATGTCTGTCTGTAGGTGAGACAGCCAAATGTATGGGAAGTCGGGGTTGTTGTCAGGGTTGGGTGTAATGTAGTAGCACCGCCTATCGATAACGCGGTGGATGAAGTGCTTCCTTGCTATGAAGTCAAAATAAACTCCTCTTGGATGCTCCACGGTGACTTAGCAAAGGATGAGGGGATCTAAGCATGGAAGGGGGTCAAGCGCAAACTTGCGGGTGTTGTAGTGAGTACTAAAGGCAGCACGTATGCCAGAGTATGTGTGTGGCAGTGGGTGGAGGCGGTGACTGTGCAAGCGGGTGGTGCACACTAAGACTTGGTCGTATGTTGGGCAAATAACCGTGTTCCAAGAGATGCAGGGTTTGCCAGTGCTGAAGGTGAGGACGTCAAGAACAATCCAGTTGCTGTTGGTGCCGGCGTATGGGTTGGGACTGATGTCGCAGACTAGATAGAAGGTCCAGTGGGTGCGCGTGGAGTGGCGATCCTTGACCTTCTTGACTGGTATGTAGGTGTAGCTGTAGCGGATGCAGTCAGGGCTGGAGAGTTTGTTAAACCACTCAAAGTGATTCTTGGTGGTGACAATGGGGTCAGCAGCCAGAAAGATGGGTTCCGGGCAGATGTTCAGATCAGATGTGTCGAAGTTGATGAGGAAAAAGGCCACTACAGCTGTGTCAATAATGCGTGGGGTGGAGTAGGGAGAGTTCGTCCAAATGCTAGGGTCGCACTTAGGGGAGATCTCCGAGCCGTGCTACTGGCACTCAGACAGACAGACAGATGCCAAGCACTTAAACTCAGTGACAACACGAGGGTACGCAATGACAGGGACAGAGGTAGCAGAGGAGAATGCCACAGAGGGTAGATTGCAAGATGGACAAACTAAAGGAGCTTAGATATATGGGGGAAGAGTCTTATATACAAGTCAAGGCAGTGCGGGAATGGGATGATGAAGACAGACAAACAGGTGGATGACTGAGGGAGCCGGGCCCCGCTGACAAGGAGAGGGTGTGTAAGCGGGCCGAGTCATACGTAAACGGTGTGAGTCATGTAAGTCCGGAGTCCGTGTGCCGGAATGCCGAATCAGAAAAAGGAAAAGAAAAGGGAAAAGAATAAGGATATTGTTGAGTCACGTAACGGCCGAACCATGTCACAAGCCTGGCAGCCTTATGGGCCGTCCTGATGCACTTTCACGCAAAGCAGGACATGAAAGGGGGGAGAATGATAACCAGGACATTGTCCTGCTCCAGCCCAAGTTTTTCCGCTTTCTGCTTCGCGCTACAGCACTCAATTTCACCGGTGAAGACGAGCCCACGATCTATCGCATCAAAGACTGTACGGCCAAGCAAGGGAATCCATCGAACTTGCCTTGCTCATCAAGAACCCGCACTGGAAGGAGCATGCAGATGGCCTACTCACGCATGACGACCGCATCTATGTGCCACCTGACAAAGTCTTACGTGCAGATATCATCAAGGCGCACCACGACTCACTCGCCGCCGGACACACAGGATGTTACAAGACGGAGGAGCTTATTACGAGGATGTATTGGTGGCCAAGCATCAGGAAGGATGTAGGATGCTATGTTGCAGGATGTCAGCTCTGTCAGTGCATCAAATACCACAGAGAAAGCCCACACACACCACTCCAGCCTAATGTAATGCCTACCCGCCCATTCGAAGTCATATCCATGGACTTCGTGGGCCCATTACCTGAATGTGAAGGGTTCAACATGGTGCTCAACGTCAACGACCACTTTAGTTGTCGTGTCATCTGCATTCCCTGCAGGGATACCACAGACTCCGGCCAACTTGCACAGCTCTTCCACGACTACGTATACAGTGAACACAGCCTACCACGCAAGATCATCACCGATTGCGGCTGTTACGGACTAGCCCCTTTCACACGCTCTACTGGCTACATATATGACTGTGACTGATGCACTATATTCCTTTTACCTTTGGACACGCCTTACATATT